GTACTGGTCACTTGGACTGAAGGCATGAATTACAGGGCTCTCCAAACTCCACCAGGATACTCACGTGGCTGTATTTTCATATGGAGTCTGATCCACCCACTGCCACTGCCCATTTTTGTAAGCAGATAAGCCTATGTAGTACTTTGTTTCATAGATGCTAGTAACTTTTTCTTTTGCCAAGTTGAAGAGGAACTCCTGGAAAAAAGCACAATGTCCATGAGGAGCAGGACTGAGCACAGGGAGACATCAGGAGTCCCTGTGGGGTGGCAGGGGGGGGGCTGGTGCTGCAGAGGTGCAGACAGGACATTCCCCATTACCTGCAGGACAAGGAGAAGCTCTGAGTCCCCTCCAGGGCCCAGCACTGTGTCTCTGCCTGCTGGATCCATGTCTCAGCCCTGTGCACATACCTGTTCTTCCTTGCTGTTGATCACCACCAGCTGGGAGCCCATCCCAGTGCAGTTCTGCTCACTCTCAGCCCAGTTCATTGTGTCAGAGGACAGGAAATAGCATCTTCTTTGAAACCTTCTCCAGCCCTTTGGGCAGCACGTCCAGCCATCCACTGTGGGGGAAAAAAATCTTGCTTTTGAACAAGATGTGTTGTCCTTCATGAGTGTGAGTTCAGTGTAGGGTCTCAGGTGTTAGGAGCAGGGTTTGAACCCTTTAGTTTGGACAGAGGTAAATGCTCTCTTTTGCTCTCCACAAGTAAAGCTGTCAGCAGCCTGGCAGGCCCCTGTCACAAGGCCCCTGCCTGAAGGGCCTCCTTCCCTTTCTCTGTCTGACCTGCCATGTCTGTGAAACCTCTCTTTGGAGAGAGACATGGTTTCTGCCTTACCCTTCTTGAGGAAGCAAGATGGGAAGTAGTTGGCTTGTGCTTTTCTAGAACCCTTCCAGTTGTCCAGGAGAAGTGTTGTCCAAGCTCTCAGCTCATGCAGACTGAGAGACTTAACTGCAAACTGCTCTGACAGCCTTGCTTCCACCACAGGCAGTTCCTTACACAGACAGCTTATCCAAGAGATCTGCCTTATGCCCAGATATTCAAATGATGGATTAAGAAGCCACAGATATATTCTCACAAAACATGAGGCTGCATGAAGAGGGATCTTTGAGTTTT